TTGATTTTTTTTATGTTGGTTGAAGATGTCATACTGTGTTAAGATATACTTGCTAATGCACACCATGTTCACATCATTTCCAGACAAAAATTGAACTACAAATAATAAATAAATAAAAGAAAATATAAATCGCAACACAGAAGCCGCAATAACGGTTAACATACACAGAAAAGAATCAAGATTCATGCAAACATACAGAGAAAATAAAAATGTGTACATACCGAGCCAAATGAAACTGAGAAAAACGATTGAAAAAGCTCGTGATAAAAAGTACGAACCAACACAAAAGAATACCCAACATATTTCAATCGGATAATTTCAGCATATTAATAATAATTTTTCTCTTTAATGGCTTCTTGTTGACAATTTTATTTTTCGATTTTCGCTGTCAGTGCCATTTCAATTTTTCTGTGCATTGTGTATCTGTTCAATGGTTATGCTTCGTCACAGAAAATTGATTGAACAGCATTTTTTTTTTAAAGAAAAGGAGCCAAAGAATAAAACAGTATTAACTACACATTTGAGTAAATTGATAGAGTGTTTCTTTTTCACTCTTCACTTTCGCTCTTAAGAATGAAAGATAGAAAGGCTTCTGTAAAGTCACAGTTTATCTGGATTCTTTTGTGGTGCTAGTCCGTCTCAATGATTGTATTAAATGGAGATTATAAGATAAAAAAAAACATCAAGAAGAATAGAGATCGAGAGAGTGTGATGCATCTTTTTCTTTGACAAATATAAAAGAAAATCGAATTGCATGTGGTTCGCACAAAAAACGTGCGATAAAAATAAATGCATTGAAATTTATTCGATTTTCGTTATCCCTTACATGCTTCCATTCTCACACATTTCTTTCCTTTATATTCATGCAATGTACGTGTACGGGTTCACCGAGTTATTCGAATGGCTAAACACATCAACAACATAAACACTGCCAACATTGCAAGCGATGCGGTTGTCCAAAAACTACCGATTTGAATCAGAAGGTGTGAAATTGCTCGACGATAAAAGTGTTGAAATAATGAAGAAACCGGTAATGATTGTCAAAACAAAACAAAAACCCCAAATATGTCTCACGCCAAGTATACTATAGAGTTTAAATGTGTTTAAATTGGCCATTATTTGTTGTTGTTGTTTTCGATTACAAAGGATTTTATCAATCGTTTAAATCGTACGCGATAGAGTGAGTTTAAGTGGAAACGAATCTTCGGACATTCTTCTTTTCTCCAATTGACATGTGAGTAAAGTTGCGTAGTTCACACCGATGGGCGCTAGTATTGTATGCTTTCAATGTAAATTTTCATTGAAGAATGCAATAAGACGCCACCTATTATAAAAACTGTCGATTTTTGGTGACTAGTGTGCTATAACACGTCTGTTCACAGACTGGTTCACAGAATGAGAAAATCTTAAATAGGGGGCGTATGAATCAGATTTTCCATGACAAATCTCCCATAATCGGTGTGACCGGCGGTGACTCGATTCGTAATCGATTCGAATTATTCGAACAATTGAAATTTCTGTGCAATTGAAACGTAGAATCAAAGCGACAAGTGTGAAACACACAATTTAATTTTGTTTGTTCGTGTGTATCCACTTGATAGTGAAATAAATGGAATTTATTGTTAGCTCACTGAAACTTGAGTATGCATTTTTTCATTTTCCTCTTCAAGTTTCCAATGTGCGTCATTGAATGCAATAAACTCCATTATAAATTGAAATTTTTGGCATTAAATTGTGCAAGCGCATTCATCACACACTCAGACATATTTGCCAATGCAAATTTTTATTCAATACAATTTGGCAAAGAAAATAAGAATATTGAGAAAACTCACTGAAATTTGTTTATATCTGTGGTGCAAGTTGAATAGAAAATGTGGAAAGCAGAGCATATGCTCCAGATGTATTCAATAAATCCTTTACCTAATAGATTGGTATTTTGCAAACCATTTCCCAGTACAAAGTATACACTTGTGCATTAACCCCCCCCCCCCCCCAAACAATTTAAATTACATACACACGTATACAAACTCAAAATGTACACATTGAATTTGTGGACAATACCTTGTGCAAGCATTTTATGGTGTGTTTGTTTTAAGACAACATACTTAAGTACCGTAACTACTACATTGAGTGGCGTGCACAAATCAGCAAATAAAATTTGTGTGGCTGAAAGTTAAAAAAAATCCTCTAGTCATTGAGTACCATGAGGGTGTATAAAGATAGAGTTCGTATACGATTTAAAATCAATTGTAAACAAAACTAGAAAGCTATCGTAGAACGTTGAACATTTTTGTCGAACATCGACGCTTTCGAATGAACGAGCCACCAATCCACATGTAATGATACTGTCGTATTTCATCGACTTTCAGTGAACCGTAACGCATAACAATGTTTAGATTCATTTTGCCAATACCCCATTTTATTCCATATGGCCGATTAACTCACCAGTTACAATCGAAACAAAATAAAAAAAAAAATCGTTCAAAATCTCAAAAAAATAAATGCAGTTTTTCGTTTCAAACCAGCGTCGAAACGAAAACAATATGACCTCGATAATACTTGAAAGTCGAAGCGGGATGACCGACATCAACCATTTTTTCTTCTTATTATTAGCAAGTTTTGTTGTCGCTACAGCCCATGTTGCATGAGTTCACTCTGAATTTTAATGCGCATTGGTGATTATTTTGCTTCATTCATTGTTTTACTTAGAAAAGTATCGAAGTTTTCAACATCTTACTTTGAAAATTCTATGAAATTATTGCTTCATTAACTTTGCATGAGATACACAGGGTTCTCTGTTTTGAGATCAATTGATTTAAAAATCAACAAATCTCTAGGGGGAAAGAACAAGCCAAAAAGCTAAAAAAATACGATTCAATACACAAAATAAATGTCAATACGTGTAAATACGTGTAAATACGTGTAAATACTTGTCAATACTGGAAATGAATGTAAATACGCGTAAATAAAAATTTCGTTTGTCAAACCTAATGTCAAACTGTCTTATCGACTGAATTATTCATACAAAAAACTCTAAAAAGTATACTTTTTGTAAATAAAAAATAAAAATAAAATTTTTTTTTAATGTTTTCTAGCGGAAATTAATTTTCTTTTTAATTTTGCTGGGATTTGTGCGGTGATTATTCGCTGATTATTAAATCAGAAATAAATATGCGTAACATAACCTCACTTTTAATTACGTAATTAAAATTTACGTAATAAAGTATTACGTACGAATTTTTTATTCATTTATTTATATGTAAATATTTTGAACGGGATTGGTGCTAGGATTGGTGTCACAAAAATGAAAATAAAATTAATCCCCTGATTAATCCTAGATTTAATCTATATTCAATAAAAATATTTATTCAAATTTTCTACAATAATTACGTAATTAAAATTTACGCAATAAAGTGAGGTTATGCAATTCATATTTATTTTGAATTTTTTATTCATTTATTTACTGCGTAAATTTTAATTACGTAATTAGAAAATTTAAATAAATATTTTTATTGAATATAGATTAAATCTAGGATTATTCAGGGAATTAATTTCATTTTCATTTTTGTGACACCAATCCCGTTCAAAATATTTACATATAAATAAATGAATAAAAAAATTCGTACGTAATACTTTATTACGTAAATTTTAATTACGTAATTAAAAGTGAGGTTATGTTACGCATATTTATTTTTGATTTAATAATCAGCGAATAATCAACGCACAAATCCCAGCAAAATTAAAAAGAAAATTAATTTCCGCTAGAAAACATTAAAAAAAAATTTTATTTTTATTTTTTATTTACAAAAAGTATACTTTTTAGAGTTTTTTGTATGAATAATTCAGTCGATAAGACAGTTTGACATTAGGTTTGACAAACGAAATTTTTATTTACGCGTATTTACATTCATTTCCAGTATTGACAAGTATTTACACGTATTGACAAGTATTTACACGTATTGACAAGTATTTACGTCTCAACAATATGACTCAATACGATCAATATTTGTAAATATCGTTCAATATTTGTAAATATCGTTCAATATTTGTAAATATCGTTCGATACGGTAAATATCGTTCAATACGGTAAATAGATGTTAATACTCGTGCAATAACCCCAAATAAAAATTCAATAAATTTTGTTCTTTCCCCCTAGACAAATCTTCAGCTTTGAAGATTTTCAAATCAAATTTTGATTTATTTATTTATTCACCGTCTGACTACAGACTCAATTATCACAATTTTTACAATATCACCAACAATGAAACACAAACGGATCGAATATACAGCGAACAGCCTTTTCGACGTTGGAGCAGCATATTTTTTTTTTAAATTTAATTAATTCACCGGTTTCCAAATGCCGAATTCTTCAATTTAACAATATTATTTCTAAAAATATGTCTTGATGCCGATTTGATGCGGACATTCGACTATACATCCGATTCTAAACAAAATACATAACAAGATATTAAAAATATAGATGCATTTATACGCCGTCTCCAAAGCGGTTGAATATTTAATACATCACGTCTAAACTAATCCATATCATAGAATCTTTCTCAATTGACTTCATTTTATCGGTGTGGATATGGTGGTGAAATCTTTGTGTATATTTGTAGTAGATTGTGTTTCCGCCTTTTGCCTAGGTCAAATGAAATATTTCTTCAAATTCAAATGGAGCCTGTTCTCGGTGCACCAGTTATTCAATTGATCAATGGCATTTTGAAAATATAGACATCAATGGGTGATCGAATTTTGCGAATAAATTTCAAATTGTCTAGCATCCCATTTTGAGAACACTGATATTATATCTCAGATACAAAACTCATCAACTCCTTTTAAATCTGATTAGTATATTTTCTGTTCCAAACGTGAAAATCTTGTAAATATTGCTGTCTTTCTCTCTATATTATGGAATTAAGTTTTTTGTTTCATCATACATTAATATACAACTAAATATTATTGTTTTTTTTTCTTTTTTCTATTTCATTGATATCCAGATGAAACACCACCAAAAATCATTACTAAAAATTATAGTTGCATCATCTCATCATACAGTCGTAACATTACAAAAATACCGAAAGACAGACATTTGGTTTGGATTTGATAAATGATGCCATATTCATTATAATCAACAATAAAACCGAAACAATTATTTCATTCGTATGATTTGTCAGTCAACTCCATCGATAGCCGATCTGTCTATTTGCTGTGGCACATCGATACACTCACATCGGTGTACGAAAAATCACGAAAAATACATCTAACGGTCGAACGAATCAAATCCAGCGATTACCCAAATAATGGAAAACCAAATCAAAACGATTAGATTTTGAATGGAATCAAGACAATTCGTGGAACGATTAATCATTTTGGCCAACATTTTGGAGTCTGCGTTGAAATCCAGCAATAAATCTGAGATTGTCGATTAGTAAAAGGAGAAAGCAAAAAAGGCATAAAATTCAACGCGTATTACATTTCTGTATCAATATTGATTATCAACATATCATGTTAATTCCGCTAAATTGGCGTGTTTTTGCCACCATCTATCATTTCAAATTGATATGAATTGCATATGTCACTGACAATTAAATTTGATGTTTTCGGAATACATTGAACATTTTATAAAATTTAAAATTGCGTAATAACAGAAATTGCAAGAAAAACATTACAATAGACACAAAAGTTTATTGAATTTCGTTAAAGTGATTGATTACCGTTTGAATTAACTCAATTTCAATGTATGATTAAAAGCTAAAAGACAAAATGACATTTTTTTTATGAAAATATCTATCCTCACATTATCAAATCAAACATTCGATTCCCGAAATAATTATGTGTGCCATTTGTGTTGAAATGAGCTTATAAAAGCGCGTTGGTGCATTAAATACGAATATCTGTTCGCATTGATAATACATAAAATGTTGGTTCCATCATTGTTATTATCATAATCAGTATATAAGCACATGTATCTGCAGTATGTAATAGTGAATTAGATGAAGCCGTAAAATAGCCATTATAATAATTATTCAATATATCGCGAACCGTTTATTAAAATAAATAACATTTACAAGTGTGTTGTTTATTTTGTTTTGTTTTTTCTCGGGTCATACAGACGGTTAAATTGTTCTCAAAACGCGTATTTTGTTGCGCCGCATGAAATTCGGTTCGATTGGCAATCGAAATGAAAGTGTTGTTTGTTCATTTTAGGGCGATAAAATGTAATAGAATCATCCCGCGATAAAGCAAATAACAACAACTAGAAAATTCGTCGCAAAACATACTGAACCGGAACGATACGCAAAATCGAAACATTGTTCGATGTTGTGTGTATTTGGTTCACATTGTTTCGGAAACTGTGCTGAAATTTGATATTTACTCGCGTATACATTTCAATGCTGTAGACAATGTATTTTTTTTTTATCAATAAAAAGAGATTAGTAGTTGTTTGTTGAGCTTTTATAGTGAAATGCGTGTTGATCGAAGCGAAAACGATTCTTCGATGGAATGCTAATAGAACGTTGAAGTTTGGGCAACTCGCAAACTATTTGAAATAATAAGCAGTGAATGCAGCGAACGACGACAAAGGCGACACGATTTGCTTCATTTGTTCAAGTAATGGGGATGTCATTGATTTTTGCAAAGCACGTAACATTTTCCCTAAGAAAGCACGAACGAGATTGTGAGATAATTTGATAATTTTTTTTTTGTATGTGATGACAAAAGTGCATATATTCAACACTTGTCAGTTTATTGTGAAATTGAGAGAAAATAATAAAGTGTGCATTTCTTAGAATTATTCTTATCGGTAAATGGCAACTGTGGCATATGTATCCAATCTTACAGTATATTGACTATTACATTATTGCATTCCATAGAATTTGAAACCTTTTTTACACATCACACCGTCGTATATTCAATAACACATTGTCATTGCAATTTCAAGAGCAGAAAAATTACTTCATTGCAATCACAATCATCAACAAAAAATTGCAATCGATTTTGATATGGTGTTATTCACGAACAACCAGATTGAAAATTTGTCAACGTGAAATCAGTGGAAACGTACATGTGTTTCTGGAAGAAAGTTAATGGAATAAATTTAATTTAAATGCGAAAAAAAAAAGTTGTGCCAGTAATTGAAATTCAAATAAGAAATCGCGGAATACTAAGTGAGTACAAAATAATAACGATAATAATAAGAAGAAAATAACAAACATAAACATTCGGCGGCTATATAAAACATATAAGAAGCATACGGCACACGATATCACCATCAACATGATGAAGAAATAAATGGCTGAGCGCACGTCAAGTCAAATAATAAAATACAATACACATCGGATACTGTATGTTCCAGCTGTGACTCTGTGCCGCTGCCATCGCAACATACACATCCTGACTTCGTGATTCTCACGAGAATCACCATGAAAATGCGTATGATTTTGATGAATGAGTGAAAAAGAAAGCATCGAAAATGAAAACATATCAAAAAGCATAGAGGAAAACCGTCAAATGATTATATAAAACGAAAAAGGAAAAAAAACTGTAGAAACATTCAACAGCAACAGCGCACAAATCACAACTTAAATTTGAAGTTCAATCGGAAAAAACACTCCGGTAACATTTCTAATAAGCGTTTACTCGCACAATCCACAAAATATATTTTATATGCGCGAATAAGAAAAGATTGAAAGTGATATAAAGCAAAAAAAAAACGAAGCAACAGAAACTTAGTACAAGTTACAATGGACTAAATGTAAAATGGTAATATAAGTGTACCAACACCGACGCATCTCCAAAATAGCTTATAAGCGCAAGCCAGCCAAAAAAATTTAATATTGAGTACGACCAAAAATATTGCATCGCGGCACTGTGTGAACTCATTCAATTCAGTGTGTGTATAAGCGATTATTACTGATTACAATTTCGACAAACATCCTCTTTATATATCTATATGCTGTTATATAAATGCAAGTGTAAACATAAAATAAAACCTTATATGAATAATCTTATGTATAAAATTTCCGAATATTCAAACTGTAATCTTAAAAAGAGTATTTTTAACTAAATTCGGAGCGTGTTTTGGTGCGTTTAAAGAAAAAATAGGAAATCGCATTGTAATACGCAAAATGTTGAAACATCATCAGAACGAGAGAATACAAAAGAAATCGCATTTGAATGCGATTAAATGTGTACATCAGCATCGTGAATGTTGCCATTGTTACTATCATCAAAAATGTATAACATTTACATCAATTTTTTTTATACATCTATTTATTGTGAGCACAATTATGGCATCGACGTCCGACCACACGGTCGTTGATGAAATGAACATTTTAAATGATCAACTGAATGGTGTCGATGGGTCACAAGTAGTTTTATTGCCTGCATTAAACCAACATCAAATTGTTCTCAATGAATTATTACCGCCATCGCAAAAAGCGACTGCTAGAGGTCGAAGCATTTCAATGCCATTAGTATCGAAATCAAATCGCCTCTTGACCAAGCATGTTGCCGCCTCTGCTCTCACCATCGATCATTCAACAAATGTTCAAGAGAGTTCTTCGTCTACATTGTGCAATTGTTTGAATCGAAAAACGTTGGTAAAATTACGAGCATTTGGTTGCATGCAAATTTGTGCACGCCAACAGCAATACTCGAAGAAATTCAAGCGAAAACATAAGCTGAATAATCGAAAAATTGTACAAAAACGTGAACATTTGACACTAATCCATGGATTTAATGCCGTTAGCAACAGTACACAACAGTTAAATGAATACAGTAAAAAATGTCCGATCCAATCAGATGAAAGGGTGGTGTGGGCCAAATTTAAGCGAAAACCATTGCATCGACACACTACTTACACCACAACAATCGATGAAAAATCACTTAACAATAGTACACACGAAACCAATAAGTTAAATCAAATTTCAGCATCGACGACAAATTTACACGAAATGACTTCTTATTCAGATAACCATTTAAGGACTTTGCAAAATATGGACTTTAAAAATAATCGCCAGAAGAGCAGCGCAGTAACACAGATTTCAAACAATGACAAAGATATCACATCAATGATGTTTAAGTATGAAAGTATCGAGTTAAATGGTGGCTGGAATGGTAAGCGAAAGATACGTTCGATAGCAAAAGTGACGGTGACACCAACACCAACCGATGCAATTAATATGACCAAATCCATTTTATCAGCGACAACAAAAGATTCAAATAATGTAAAATCAACGCAAAATGGGATTATTGATTCATCGATACCAAGAGGTGGAGTTACAGAGATCATTGGCTTTGATGGTGGTACTAGTAGTGGTGATGATAGTGATGCCATTATTGCAAATCCAACCATAGCAAGTAAGTTATTGTTTAACCTTTTCTGTATACCAAATGCCTAAATTTGTAAAATGAAAGTCTTTAACCATAATTAAAATTATGTGTATTTTGAAATGAACAAGGCAGTACAAGGACATTTGGTGATACCACTACAAATGACTATGTAAATTATGCATCGGATGATACGGATATGACAGTGAATATGGCATCAAATCTTTTGCAATCGGACCAATATCTTGATTTAACCATAAAACCAGATGCAGATGAAGAATTACAATCCACCCAACTACCAATCATTGATAAATCAAATGAAACAGCATGCATTTCAATCGAGGCGAACACAAACAACACCAACAACATTACAATTATATGTGATCAGGGGAATGACACGTGTGTTGGTAATCCAGACTGGTGTAATCTTACTTATGAAGAATATCGAGAAATGTTAGATCAATATATTTGGCCAACGCCCGGTGAATGGGTTTTAGTTGGTTTTCATACGCTTGTATTTGCTGTTGGTTCGGTAAGTTTTACCATTAATTTCCAATTTCTTGATTAAGGTGTTGTTTGCTTTATTTTCGGTTGTGCTAAGCAATTTTCCGTTTATTTATATTATTTATCGTTCTTTGGTCGATTTGATTCGTTTTATTTTCTTATTGAATATTCTAAATTCATGTATTTTATGTGTGTGAATGTGTTGATAAGTTTATTCTAGTAATTTTATATATCGAAAAGCTCATTGCGAATACCATGGATTGCAATCGATTCAAGCTTTTTATGATGGGGTTGAATTGTCTTCAAAAATAAACGAAAAGAAAAAACGAAGGACAAAAAATTAGGTTTGCACTTTATTTGCATGCGTATTATTTCTGTTTTCTTTTCGCTTTACAGCAGAAATGTTGTATATATTGACCGCTTTATTTCTGTTGAGCTAGCAGCTTGCCAGCAGTAAGTTCCGACGCATCATTGACTAGGATTGAAGGAAAAATGGGGGTTTGCTTTTATTGCCGTTTTTTTTCGTCTGTACGATTTTGTCAAAATGAAAATGTGCCGCGTTTATGTGGGTGTGAGTGAGAGTTGTGCATACAAAAAGGTTTCCAATACAGTTTTCAGTCGAACCTTTTTCGTCTGCTCGGGTGTTTTGTTGCTTTTTCGTCGTTCTCTCGCCTTTGTGTTATTTTGTTTCGAAGTATATTTTGGTTTGATTCTGTCATTGACATCTCATCGCAATGTGTAATCAATTATATCACTTGTAATTTATTAACTGAGCAGAAATTTCGGATATTGAAGATTAGAGGCCAAGACAATAGGAAACCGTCTTGACAATTACTTTAAGTGTCATTATTTGTGTGCTTCAATCAGAAAAGGCCGAATAATCCACCCATCGATTAAAAGAGAAAGTTTGCTAATTACATACAAAATCGTTCAATCCTTCCAATTTTTTAAATAACTTGCTCTAAGTGAATGAAATTCATTCAACCTCTTTCACTCACTTTGCTGGGGTTTTTTCTGCGTTTTCGTCAAAGTCAATACGATCAAAGTTTTTTCATCAGTATTCATAATTTTGATTGAAAAAATTTAATAATTTGTCAGGGTTTCTATTGTTGTTTTTTTTTTTTTTTTTTGAGATCAATACGATGTTCAAAGAATTAAGTTAATATCATACAAATAAATCAAATAAAAACGAGGCCGGTTTGTTGATTTTTGATATAATGTCGGTTGCCAATTTTTCTCAATACCGTCATATTTATATTAACATCTTTGCTTGAAATTATTTCTAAATCTAAGAGATTGACCCAAGACTATAACATATCACAAAATTAATGAAAACAACCACAAATACTACACTAATATACACGCGTCTATTGATGAAAGTCCTCTTTTGTTAAAATGAATTGAGGAAAGGACTAGATTTATTATTTATATTACGAAAAAAGAGAGTATGTCTTTGGCTTGCGGTTTTCGCTTGACCTGTTAATGACAGCAAGCGGGGTAGACCGGGTAGTGTGAAGACGTTTTTTGCGAATCTCCATCGATTGCATAATTATAATAGTGGAATGAATATTCGAGAGAATTTATAAATGTATGCTCAACAGCTGCACTCTTTTCGCTGCAAGAGAATCAAACTAAGTTCAATGATGTCTTTAGAGATTGACTCTTCAGAACGGAATCATTATTACATAACATCTATTATAACGTACAAATTGATGTATAATCGAGTATATATTAACAGAAAAGAGTACTGATTGAGTGAATATATAAGCTGTTGCCTTCGTTGGTCATCTGTTGTCCGGGTTAGTCATTTAACAGCCAATTAATATTCGATCATGAATATCACGTTTGAATACTTGGGATTGAATTTAATCTGATAAAAGGATTTTTGGAAAGCCAATCGAAGGGAAAACTCAATAAATATAACATTTTTTTTCTCTCTTTTTAATCTTCTTAAAATGGATAATAAATTTCCACTTCATTCACCTCATCAAAAATATCGATAAGAGGTAAAGTATCAAGGAAAATTAGCCAATGTTACATAGAACTCATTAACAATTGATATTTGTTTCGATGAAGAAAACTTTTATGAAAATCATTTTTTGTTTCCGTGCTTTTGGGCAAACACCAGAATCCGCAAAATGATGCTTTAATATCATTGGTTAATTTCATTATCTGAATAAATGTGGACATTTTCTGAGAATGCGTTCATCTCTTAAAGAAAGCAATGTCACGATGTAATTTGTATTCATTCGTGACGTGAATGGCCTGTGCATTCAATGAAATGTTTGCAATGTCATGTACGCGCTTAAGTCGTTATTTTGTATCGTGTACAGTTTTTGTTTCTTCAGAAGCACAGGATATGCAGAGCAGTGTGTGTGCGTGTGTGTGGTAGAGAGAAGGTCGCTCATTTTGTATGCGTAAAATATGCATTCACTTGTTGGTATTCCTTGAGCTTTCTGTTCATACAACCGTATGTGTATTCGAACGTGTTTTGAAATATGTGCTTACATAACTCTCTTAATTTCGTTATTATTATGTTTATTAACCGTTATTCTCTTTACACTTAACTCTTTCCCTTTTAAACTTTTGCTCGGGCTTTGTTATATCTTAAGCTTAACTGTTGTCTTGTCATGTTTTCTTATTTGTTGTTTTTCAACTTCGGTACCGATTCTCTTCATGCTGCTGCTGCTGCTGCTGCTCATACTCCTGTTGCTGAAACACACAAATATGGGATCTTCCGTTTCATGTACAGATTGGCAATATATTGGTATGCATCGCGGTGTACGCAAATACGTCAATGCGAACCATAACCAACATATTCATTGTGAATTTAGCCATTGCCGATCTTCTTGTGATTATATTATGTTTGCCGACAACAGTTCTGTGGGATATTACAGAAACGTGGTTCTTTGGCGAAGCAATGTGCAAAGTCATTTTATACTTGCAGGTAAGTCTATCCACGTAATTATATTTATTTTCTCTTTCATCACAACAACACCATTTACTGCATCGAATTTTAGTTTATGCGTAACAATCATTCGTCCTCACCACGGGTCCGAGGTGTCTGACTACGCCCCCCGTTCTTGACGAAGTGTTACTATTCAAACATTTTCAAAGAATTCTTTTAATTTAAAAGAGCAAAAAAACGAAAAAAATTGTTGTTGTTGTTGTTGAACATACTGTATCACTGATACAGTATCAGTTAACAACTTCTTATTCTGATACAAAATTTAAGGTGATTTTATTATTTACTCATTTCCAAAAAAGTACACTTTACACTTACAATTTGCTTTTTTACTTAAACCTCTCGATTTTTTCCAAGTACACCACCCCCTTTTCAATTTTTACCTTGAGGACGTATGGTAACAATTATCGCATCGTTCTTCGAAACAAAAAAAAGAAGCATGAACACGTTCAAACAACCAAAAGGACTAACTAATTATTTTTGCAATTTAATGGTTGTAATTACATTTTATGAGATATTGTAAGAGGATTTCGCAGAAGCGAAAAAAAAAACTAATTAGACAGATAGAGAGCAGTGAGCAACCGAAATGCATGTCTTATGTTATGAATGCGAAATAATACCAAGATAGAGATTTATTAATGTATTTTTTAAAAAATCTTCCATTGATAAAATGAAGGAACCGATAAGGTTGCATTGCATTTTAAGCAATGGGAAAAAATCATCCATTTAGTCATCCAATAAATGGAGAAAGCGGACAGAATAGATAAATAAAATGCACACCAGAGAAAATATGTTTTGAGATATAAAAATATATCAGCAACAAGCATTAAGTTTCATTGACTTTTCGGTGTATTCGATCGAGGAATTCGCATACTCAAATACTACGCAATATTGAATTATTTATTAATACATACTCCTACACACAGTTCAGGTTCATTGTCTCCATGGTTTCTGTTCTGAAAGTTTCTCTCCCTCTCTCTTTCACCCATCAACAGTTTCAGTTACCCCTTTACAAAGTTACAAAAATTCTCACTCATATTAGAGTAAATTTGATAAATTCATCTCAATTGTGGTACCTATGATTCTCTCTCACTCGCTTTTTATCTGCATCCTTTGGAAATGAACGAATGATAATCCAAAAATAGAAAATAAATCAACTAAATTCATTGTACGATGTACATTATATGTGTAGAAATCGGTGTAAATTTATCCAGATGTTTCATGCTTGTATACAATCTGAATACTCAGTGAAGTTGTGGTTATCCATAAAGCGCAGTATTTAGTATATTTGGATGTTTTGTAAATAAAGTTCAAGCATATGTCGTTTATCATTTTGGTATGGACGTATCATCCCACGCTCGTATCGACTACCATAACAGCATTATTGCATGCAACCGATCAATTAAATATTAAATATAAATGAATTTTGACCACACGAATTAATTTTGGTGTGTGAGTATGTTTCTGAATTATTGCTATCATTCCTGTAAATACGTCACAGTTCAAACCGCCGACAGAAGCAAATTTTATGTATTTAATGAAAATTCAATGAAATAACCATTGATGATTTTGAATGAGTTCGACCATATGAAGCGATTTCTTTTGAAGAGTTCAATTGAATTGTCTAACAAAATGTGGTGAACAATTCTAACGCATTGATTTCAATTGGCCTCATTTCAGGGTTTCTAGCAATAAAGCTCACATTACAGCCTAGTCCTCGCATCGCATGTCATCTAATTGCCTACCGATATAGCTGTGCAACATACTATTAAATTATATCGGATCTGAGCCCATTTCTCACAACAAAAATGCACACGAAAGATAAAACAAAATGGCTTATTTTGAATTTACTATTCAGTGAGACGTGAAGTGCTCTTGTATTTCCCAAGAATATACCGGTCAATTCTTATCACTTTGCTAACGACAGATATCCGTTATCTCTTTTTTACGCACAATTACGTAAACTTATATATGAATCGGTTAGAATATTCGTGAGCTCAAGAAATTTGTTAAAGTAAAAGAGCAACATGTTCATATAAAAAATGTGGTATGAAATTAAAGAAAGATCAATGAAAGCAAAGAAAGATCACAAGAAATACACATTTGAATGGAAGGTATTGTAACATATTTTATTTATATAACAACAACACTTTTTACTATTGTAAGAAAGTTTCAACAAAAGTTACATGTTGTTTTACTTTTCACATCTACTCAAGTTGAGTATTGTCTAACTCAATGTGCTTACCACATCATATTTCTCTCTCTGTGTCTATGCGTATGTCTATCTCACACACAATCCGTGTGGGATATGCAATAGAGCCGCATATGTGGAGTCTCTTTTTGTGCACATTCACAACTGAATCACGCTCCACAAACTCATGCGACGTGACGGCAAATTGATTAAATTATAGAACAAATTACGATATTTTAAATTGCATTAGAGAAAAGTTAAATATAATTTACTAAAGATGAACGAATCCCAATGAAGAATAAAACATGTTCATCGAACAATACTGACTTATGTACTGTGCACGCAATATATAAACGTCTAATCTCTGTCCCCTTTCGTTTCCTTTTTCGGTCTCCACCACTCTCACTATTGCACCATCATCCTTTCTGTCTCTCACTTTCTCGCTGCATTTACATCATGTTTTGCATATTTATTTAAAGTGGCAATAGAGGAGAGAAAAAGTGGAAAGTGAACAAAACGCACCCATATGAAATTCCATTTCAAACACCAAAGGGGAATCCTTACATTTTCAAATGAATTAAATAAATTCCAGAAGCGTCACTTTAAATCTCTCAAGAAGAGAAAGAGAGATGGTGTCAACATAACATAAAATCAACGCTATTCCTTCCAAATGCACTTCAAATTTCATTTTGTGTTAAATTGATTTTTCTTGTGGTGTCTTCTGCATTTCACTCCACAGACTTGATAATGATGTGTGATTTCGGTCGAGCCTCAGTTCATTTCATTGTCATAGTTTATGCCATTGATAAATCATTGTGTATGCTGCAATGAAAATTACATAAAGATTTTCAACAAGCTGTCAATTGCTGATACCAAAAACAGCAACGACACTTTGGATGTCGGAATGGAAACCCTTGAAATTCATAATACATTTACGAATGAGAATATGAGACGAAAAAAACAGTGTATGTGATTAATGCAAATAAATCATTGACTTTGTTTTTCTTTTGAAGC